TTCTTCACTTTCTACACAACCCATTCATTTCATTTTCATCTGCTTATCTGAAGCCGGGTCGTGGGTGCAGCAGACCAAGCAAAGCACCCCAGACATCCCTCTTCCCAGCAACAGTTTCCAGCTCCTCCTGGAGGACCCCGAGGCGTTCCCAGGCCAGATAAAATATGTAATCCCTCCAGTGTGTTCTGGGTCTACCCAAGGGCCTCCTACCAGTGGGACGTGTCTGGAACACCTCTAACAGGAGGCGCCCAGGAGGATCCTGATCAGATGCCCGAACCACCTCAACTGACCTTACCCTTACCTGTTCTTCTTACCCTATCTCTAAGGCTGAGCCCAGCCACCCCAAGGAGGAAACTCATTTCAGCTGCTTGCATTCGCAATCTCATTCTTTCAGTCGCTACCCAGAGCTCATGACCATAGGTGAGGGTTGGGACGTAGATGGACCAGTAAACTGAATGCTTCACCTTACGGCTCAGTTCCCTCCTTATCTTGATGGTCGGGTGCAGCGCCTGCATCACTGCTGACGTTGAACCAAACCACTGATCCATCTCATGCTTCATTCTACCCTCACTTGTGAACAAGACCTCATGATACTTGAACTCCTTTGCTTGAGGCAGTAACTCTCTCTCAACCTGGAGGGGGCAACCCAGTTGAAAGAAAAAATGTTGGCATTGTAAATTTCTGCAAACCACAGATACGTAACAGTTGTACATTATATGTGGTGTGGTAAATGTTTGGTTATGTCTAGGCACAAATACCACTTGGATATTGTAGGAAAAAATTGTGCTGTGGCTTTAAATACCTGGTCTTGGGGGCACAATCCCACCAGAAAAAACACAGACGTCGCGGTAAAAACCAACTGCTTTTCATCCCTAAAAGAAGATGATGGAAACAAGGCAGCTGGCCAGTAAAAAATGGTGCGGGAAATATAGCAATAGGTTGCCACAAACACCTTCATTTGGTGCCTAAAAAGCCACTGGAAACACAGCAATTACTTGCTAAATCACAACTGCAACAGCGGTATGCAGCTTGGCAGGCACCTTGCCTAGGTGTCACACCATCCAGAATCCCCTCCACCAACGATGAAGTCAGCCCATATACCAGGGATGCGCGATAATATCGGCATGTCATTGGTATTGGCCGATATTAACTTTAAAATTAAATATTGGAATCGGCTAACATGCTGATAATACCGCTAGGTCATCTGTATCGGCCAATATCGGCTTTAAAATGAATCGGCCAACATGCATTTTCCATCTGCTGGTGGGCCATCATGATAAAAGTATGCATATATAATATGATGTTAATTCCACTACAGAAGAGACTTGATGATCACTAGAGTTAGGGAGGGAAAAAAGTGGATATACCAATATCGGTATTGTTCATTGGTCAAATGAGTCATTACATATTCGTATATTGGATATCGGCAAAAAATCCAGTATCTTGCATCCCTATCATTTACTATGTCACTTTAGAAATGGTGATATGATATTCATGAAACATACAAATGTAACATATTTGTGGTTTGCAGAAACATACCATTCCAACATAATCGTCTGGTGAAGCAGCTGTCTTACACCAGCATTCAACATTCCCCAACCTTTGGTAAGGAACACCTGCTTTATTCTTTATCATTGTTAGATTCAAGTAGTGCCTCCTCTTGTTTCTAATCATTAAAAGTCACTATAACAAGGACAATAAGTACGACATTAGCTTTGCTGAAACTGGTTCAAAATGTTCCAAAACTTTGAAAGTTAAAAATAAGTGCCTGTTACATAAAGGAAAATAAATCAATCAATGATATTTTCAGTGGAGAGGCTTCTCAACAGCTAACAACAGAGGTCAAAGCAACAGCTCTGTGGTCTTTTGGTTTGAGAGCAAGTTGCTCATGTCAACAAATACTGACTGAGACCTCGCAGATCAAGCAAATGACATGAGTTCATTTTTTCTCAAACGTTTTTCTTTTATATGTGACCTGTATTTTAACACTAAGGATAACAGAAATATGTCTTGATCCACTTGAAAACCAGTGGACTACAAAATATGATGTAACTTTGAAAAACAGAGTGCCCTTAAAGCTTTGGGTTGATCTGGGGGTTACAGTGAAATCCAAGAAGAGCCAATAAGCACAGTGAGTTTCCTTTTCTCTCACAATAGCTCCAAATGGTTTTCTTTATAGCTGTAATGGTTATCTACTTCACTAATGTCTTACTGCAGCCCACTGTGGTGAAAGCAATACTTAACCCACAAAATTACCATTTGTATATCAATTAATCTTTAACTTAACTCTTTCTGTTACCTTGTATTCCTGAAAAAAACTTCCAGGGGTGAATGGAGGGATGGAGGTGAACAGAGAATCCAAAAAAGGCAAACATTCTTCATTAATTGAAGCAAATAGGGACCAACAGCAAAACTTTATCCAAATATCAGTTTTCAAACTCTCATGCAGTATAACTCAAGTGTCATTAGTCCAGGCGTATGATCAGTATTTTTGTTTTGCTTGTTTGGGCATGCATGTGCATCTGAACTGTGCTCAAGCGGAATTCATATGCACGGGTGTGCTCAGGAATGCGCGGGACACTACCCATATGCTGAAGTGTTTTTTAAATTTGATGCTTTAGAAATTAAATGTGTTTGAGGAATACCGAGAATACAAGAGGATAAATGAGACGCAGATTATACTGCGCAAGTTGTGTGAGAGTTTGAAAACAGATGTTATGATATAGTTTTGCTGATGCTGAATCTGATCCCCAATTACTCCAATTCATGAAAATATATCCACCTTTTTTTGGATTTTGCGTTCACTGTGGCAGCATGCAAGAAAAACATTTTCTCGTCACGTATTGACGTTTGGTCGTGGACTTTTCATGTCGTATCTGGACATAAGTTTTACCCTGGGTACATTG